TATTCTTTCACTTGTAAGGTTTCATTGTGTCACTATGGAGCTCTGGGGTCAACAGACTCTAATATAAGAAATTTACATTTCATAATTGCTTTAATCAAGTATCACATGGCTACAATGGAAAAAATCACAAATTCAGAGATACATGTGTCCTTTCCTTCGCAGTTATTAGCAATTGTGTGTAGCTATATTAAGGTCTCCTGAAAACTACACACATGAGTCTTTCATATTCTTAAATGTTTCTAAATCAATTTTAATGTACACACTACCACATTCCCATTTTTCTCTGCAATCTGAAGTCTAGATACGGATTAGGAAGGATTTTTGGACAAAAACATTTCCAAATCTAACTTCCAAGAATTTCCCTTCACAAAACTTCCACCAGATGTGAGATTTCTTGCTTTTGTGTTGTTGGTGTCAAGCCACCCTTCTCTCCCACACCTAGTTGGTAACATACTTATCCTTCCAGACCCAGCTCAAATCCTCCCACCTCCTCGCCTTCCCTCCTCTTCACTGCAGGCAGAAGGAAAGTTTTTCTTCCTCTGGTCTCCCAGAACATCTGTTGATTGTGCCACTAACGTGATCCTCTTGCTTTCTCATCTTACAGCACTTTAATGTCATCAGGACTTCTCCCCCTTATCAGGTAAGAGGGTAGGATTATTAGAACCCTCCTCCCCCAGAGCCTGGTACAGGTGCCCTGCCCAAAGAACAAAATTCAGCTAACATTTGTTGATTGAAAGGACAATGCAAAATCTAAAACTTATTGCCTTCAGGCTTTATTAAAGGTACCTCGCAAATTCAATGGGGATGAATTTGTAGATTTTACTTAAGAAAATTGACTTTACCTTCAAAAGAATCTTATTACCTCCACTTAGAAAATCGATTTAGGAAGACAAAATGAGTAAATAAATGAGTCAAACTGTTTTTCTTGAAAACTTACTTCCATACAGCTGTAAACTAAAATAAAATTTTAAGCCCCTCCCCCCCGCCGGCTGACTAAATGGATCCCCTGGTGGCCAAAGGAATATCCTAAAACTAAATTGTTTGCCAGGAGGAAGGAGGCCAGACATGCTTTATCATGACCCCCTCCCTTCTTGGGGACATCCTTTGTAACCCATTAACAGGCCTAAGGGTATGCAAGACAATCCTGCAGGTCCTCAATTTACACAACAAATTATCTTATCTCTGATAACAGCTTCCTTATGTTAAAACATTTCAAGCCTTTAGACAAAGCTTCATGTCTTTAACCAATTACAAGCCAAAGAGTCCTTAAACCCACCTATAACCTGTAAGCCCCAACCCCCTTCCAGATGTCCCACCTTTTGGGGCCAACCCAATGTATGCCTCCCATATACATTGTCATAAAGTCAATGTGTTGACTTTACATAAAGTCACAAATGTATTGATTTATGACTTTACCTGTAACCCCCGTCTCCCTGAAATGTATAAAACCAAACTGGAACCTAACCGCATCGAGTCCACTAGCTCAAGGCTTCTTGGCAGTGGCTCCGGGTCATGGTCCTGAAATTTGGCTCAGAATAAATCTCTTTAAAATTATTTTACAGAGTTTGGCTTTTTTCCGTTGACACTGCCAATCTGAAATCATTTCCATGGTTCATGCAGCTAGAAAATCCATCCTGAGAAAGGCAAGAGCTCTCTGAGTCGTTTTTTTGGACCATAACAAAAGCCTCTTCCCCAGACCCCCCACCCCAACTTCACATCTTGTTTTAAAAGCCAACTAAGGAGGGCTCCATTTGGTTTAGGGAAGAATTTCACACACCTAGACCCTAGAGACACCATCTTGCTTGCTAGCATAGTCATTTAGATTTGGGACCAGAAAATGAGTTCCAAGGCTAAGCTGTGATTAAAAACAAACAAAAAAAACAAACAAAAAAAACACTTGGAAAGCAATGTAGAGAATGGGAGCCAAGAACACTAGGCTGCATGTAAAGCTCTTAAAATATGCCTTTTACAATGTCAATTTTAAAACTAAGTAAATTTGAAAAAAAATGCCCTTTTAAATAACACTATTCCAATGTCCCTCTTTTGTCTGTAGATTCAGAAATTCATGTATAGTTCTTCAATATCTGCTCAAAAAAGTCTCAAAATATTTAAAGAGTTAGTTGACATACTTCAAAGAAGCTAGCTGCCAATGAATCCTTGCTCCCACCCCAGCCTCTTCTTCCTCTTCCTCTCTGCCTCCAGGTTTTTGTTGATGTTTGGAAGGTTCACTTACCACACAGGAGCCAGTCCCAACGCCACACTGGAATTAAAACACTCTGAGGGCATTTGCCAAAGTAACTGCACCCTTCAAATATTTCATTGGTACCTTGATTCACTTTGCATTTTTTTAAAAATCGTTCTTCCCACCTTATATTTGAGAGGAAAAAAGTCTCTGTGCAATGTCATAAATTAAATGGTTTTATTTAAACTTCTGAGCAAAATATGCAAGGTGGTCAGGACAGGAGAGACAAAGTAAGTATCATGACCGATTTAGACCAACAATGATTCACCTCCTGAGGCTCATAGCTAACTGATACTTGCATAAATTCAGGGTTCATTAGGAAGAAGAAAGTAGTGGGGCAGTGGCTGGTTGGTAATCAACCTATAATGTCTTTCCTAAACTGTATTCCTTGTCCCTTTGAAGGATTCAGAGCATAGCTTGAAACATTTATGCACTCCTTTCTGGCCATGGGAACTCTCTGGCCTCCTGAGAGTTTTGAGCTGGAAAATTAACATGAACAAATAAATATGATTAAGGTGTAAGGGATTTTGCAGCCTTTTATTCCAAAATTCTGATTTTTCTCAACATTTACAGATTCTGATTTAGTAGGTCCAGGTAGGGTCTGTGAGTCTGCATTTTTTGGGGTGGTGATTGCATAGTGTTTTTTTATTTCAATAGATTTAGGGGTTACAAGTGGTTTTTTTGTTACAGGGATAAATTGTGCTGAATTCAAGGCTTTTAGTGTGTCCACCACCAGAATAGTGTAGCTTGTACCCCATAGGTAGATTTTTTTATCCCTTCGCCCTCCTTAGTCTGCATTTGTAGTATGTTTCCAGGTAATGCCACGTTTCTGCTCTGAGGACCACACTTTTGAGTAGCAGGATTCTAGCAAAGTGTGACCTAAACTTGTATTTTTAGTTGTACTTTTTACTAATATCTTATACATAACATATGGTCTAGAACAGTGCTGTAATGCAGTAGCCACATGTTGCTACTGAAATTTACTAAAGATATTCAGTTCCTTAGTTGCACTAGCCAGAATTCAAATGTTCAAGATTCACACGAGCCTAGTGGCTGCCACATCAAACGGTATATGTATGAAAACATTTCCATGATCAAAGAAAGTTTTATTGGACAGCACTGTTCAGACAGAAGAAACTATTTATATTAATAGTTCTCTACCCTTGCTGTTACCATGTCTTTCCTCATTCTGGTCTTTAATGGGGGACACATAGTGTCTCTACTTGCTACAATCAAATTCATCTTCTAAGAATTACCTCAAGTCTACCTCTTCTATGGGACCTTTTCCCAAAATGCAAACTAGGTGTGCTTTATGCCAACTTTAAATCTGCAATCCACAGGTTTTTTTTTTTCCTCTGCAATGTATTTTTACTCCAACTTCCATTTCTCTGGTTGTAGAAGTCCATTTTTTTAGGACTGGGAAAAGGACACTACTTCTCACCCACTCGTCCATGTGATTCAGTCGAACCTAACTCTGCACAGGTCCTACCCACAATCATTAGAACACCAGCCAGATGACAGCCGGTGACGTCTATCTCATGACATTTGCTGAAGAAGTTAAGATTGATGTGCTCTTTCCAACTGCGGTCTCTAAGCTGTATGGATGCAAGTCTGAATCTCCAAGGCAGTCACCTTCCTATCCGATGGGTGGAACTTGTCTGAGAATGAAGACAACTGGGAGGAAAGCAAAACCAAGAGATCAAGACGGAGCCTTGGTGACATCTCATACTTGGCCATAGCTGCATTCGGAGTGTTCTCTATGTACCCTTGAACGTTACTGGGGACGATTTCCTATTTTTGCTTAAGCCAGTTCGTACTGACTCTTGTCCTTTACAACCTCTCTTAAGGCACATGGGTTCTGCTTTGATACATGGTAGCAACATGCTGCTTGCTAATTCCCTCTCTACTTCCCTTTGACCCAACCCTTCAAGCGTTTGAAATCACAACTGCCTTTAGGTAGTTTTTATATCGCAGGTTTGTAGGTGGCCTTGTGAACACACGCCAATGTAAAGTAAGTTTTCCTTTACCAATTTTAATATTCAAATTATTTTAACATGTTGGTAATCAAATTTTATGAAGCCAAAAACTAAATTTTTATTATCTGCCAATAAAGTCTATTAATTTTTCTCGATTTTTATACTTTAGTATATACATAGTATAAATTGATGAATCTCTTTACTGTGTGAGTCACCCCAAACAAGTCCAAATTTCCTAGTTGTTATGTAAATTTACCTAACCCACATGTACCCACAGGATATTTATCCTTCACCTGCACTGTCCTCTCAGCTTTGAACAAGCTCCCCCAAAGCCATTACAGCTGAGTGTCCCAGTCTGGGCCCGTGGGTGGGAGGAATGCCTCCAGATCTCTCTTCCAACCCACCCTGCCTTCTGGATCAGCTCACGTGCACCTTCTTAGCTTCATGTCTTGACCCACTCCCCTCCACAACTTTGTCCAGCTCATATATTGGGGGAATCTACCTACCTTCTAATTGGTTCAGAAGGCCCCAGGGAGACAGCTGCTGGGAAATTTCCTAGACTCTAACCACAAAGGTGCCCCCAAACCCAGACATGAAACCACCACCCATGTGCCACCTGCCCCATAAAACTACCTTTTCTAACTAGAATTGGGCGGAAGAAGAGGCAATTCATTCACGAAGGAACAAACAACAGGCTCTCACTGCTTCACCTTACCCTTTTGTTATGTTTTAATGTTACCTGCTCCCGAAATAGGATTAAGAACTACTCTAGAGGACCATGCACATGATAAGATTATCTTTTATTAGAGATCTTATATTACATATTCCCAAAAAGATATAAAATCTTCCAAGAGAAAATATCAAAACCTGTTGATTCCAAGGTGAGCAAAATGATAAAAATGAAAGCAAACGTTTTATTTCAGACAAAGGAATGTGAAAACATTTCGGCACAAATACAACAAAGATATGGGAAAACAATTATGTTTTAATAACACATTTTACAGCACTTGGTTTTAATCAGTATTTGTAGAAAACAAGGATGCTGAGTTCTTCAACACTGCAGTTACAACCTCAAATGAAAATTTCAAAGAAAAATAAAGGGGGGGAGGAAGGGGGAGAGAGAGAGAGAGAGAGAGAGAGAGAGAGAGAGAGAGAGAGAGAGAGAAAGCAATGCACTATTTGGTCAACTGAACATCTGTGATGATAAATGTAATAAAACTTAATCAAATAAATATGCCACCAAGATCACAACTGAAGTGTATGGTTTTTAGTGTATGCCAGAGACACTAAATCATTTAATCAGTTCTTGACCACAACCTAAATAAAGCATCTTCTCTTCATTTCCCTGATGACTATCCTAAAAATAACTTTAAAGAGCAGAAACTTGCTGGTTAAAGAGAATTTCTGCTTTACCTGTGAACAGCTGGTGGCAACACACACTGAATAAAACCCCAACTGACATGGGACAGATCTATCTCAAACAACCAGAAGTGGCAAAACCACTGTTATTGCATCAAGATTTTTTATTTCATCTGAACAGAATTTCCAAAATGATTAAGCATACCCACTTAACCACAGAACACAGTGAACTCCCAGAGGAAGGTTTTACACTTAAGATGCAGTGAAAATACTGATCTTATTCCCGGGATTTGCTTCTGGCAACTCTAACATCTGTAGATGTCCACAAAAAGGAAGTATTATCTCCTTTTCTAGTTGTTTATTCCCAAAAATGAGGAAGGAAGCTTACAGTACATAATTATTGCATGAAATCACCCCCTTGTAATATCTCTATCAACAATGGTATTATTTCCATAATTATTAAAGGCAAAGGAGTTTATGAATTTAAACATAATAATTTTAGGAGCTGCATCTTGAGTAAAAATCCAGATGATAATCAATTTATATAGTGAAAGAAATTATTCTAATTTCTCTATAAAAATGTTGGAATGATAAGAGGTAAAATGGAAATTTAAAGTCACATAACACTAAATCTCTTAATTTAACTCAAAGAGAATCTTCAAAACTATACCTACTCAGACTCCTTTCTACATTGAAACTGAATAGTTTAAATGTTGCTATTATTTTAATATTAAGGAGACAATGATTCCAAATAAACTTTATTAAAAGTATTATAATGGCACATGGGCTTAGAACTTCACTTTGAGGCTAGCACATGTAAAAACTTGGAATTAACAAACAAATTCTTTAATAAGATAAATCTTGATGAGCTACAAAAAAGTGGGTTTCAAAACAGGGTCTATTTTTAAAGCATTCTCTTTTAATAGTTAACTACTGTGAAATGGAAACAGTATCTGGATTTTGCATGTTACAAAATCTTTGCTTCAAGTTGCAGTTTCCTTGGCAGCAGCATATTTTAATTAACAATATTTTTCTTCCTTGTTTTGTTTTCTGACATCTCAGTACATTCAAATAGTCAAAATGTTTAGAGTAACATCACCACAAATTTAATGAAACAGATCAGAATGTGGCCAGCATTGTCAGGCAAAAATTACATAATTTATGTGTTATAGAAAATACTCACCCAGTCCCCAACCCCCCAAAATCCCCCCTTCCCCAAACAGTAATATGGACACTAAAAGGTTTAACAAGACTTATAAAAAAATAAGGCACATTTATTTTGATATGGTAATTTTAAAATAGAAAACCCCATCTCAGAACACCTGTATTCAAATGAGCTGTGTAAAAAGATACCTTGTGGTACCTAAAATAGGTTTACGGTACCTATGGAATTGCTTCTTCTATTTTAGTGACAATGGAATAAATTGCACCTATCCCACATTGTCAAGTATTGAAAATATGCCTCTTTTTCTACTGCTGAATGATTTAAAATCAGATATTTCTGGAAATACTTACAAAGGGTGGGAAGGGCAGGGAAAGGTTAAGACGTTCATTAGAAAAAGGTGTGAAAAACAACTATGTTTACCATAAGGGTTGATCGATTGCACTTTTCCACTTATTTCAACACATTTTTCTAACTTGTATGAATGATTGCAACCATTTTGGCCATTAGCTATTACTCACCAGTATTTTATTCCATTTCAGTCAAATGGGTATTTCTGTAAAACTAACAAAGGATCAGCAACATAAATACTTACAAGAATCTCTTCACAACCCCCAACATGGACAATTAGTTAGCATTAAACCTGAGATACAATCAGTTGAGAGGTTGTTTTTAAATATTTCTTCATTTGTTGCATCAATTCATACTGATGATGTTAGTTCATGGGAGGAACTTAAAAAAAAAAAAAAGAAACCTGGTTGATAGCATGGCTTTTTTTTTTTTTTCCATACTGTACTGGTTAAAAAAAAAAAAAAAATCACAGAATTTATGTTCTCACAGTAGCCAGAAGCTAAAATAATGTGCTTCTTTATTGCACGTCAAATCAAGAAACATATAAAAAGCCAACGATTCCCGATCCAAATGTGAAAGTCAGGTTCACCTCAACCGGATTCGAAATGTGCTGATTTCCATGGGACTCAAGGTGATCTCGCTTATATTTTGGGCGTCTGGAGGTGAATGCATCAAGGATAATGAGGACGGTGTGAGACTTTCAACAGTAAACTTGTTAAAAAGTTTCTGTACCAACATCTAAAAATTAAATGATAAAGGATATGCATATTTAGATCAACTTTGAAGAAACATTAGTAGCACATCTGAAAGAATAAAACAGTATGTTGAAGTTTACTTTTACGGAAAAATAAGGAGGGGATTAAATATACACGTGTACGTGCTTGAACACACAGATGATCCCTGGGAGGAAACAGGAAACTGGTAATGGTCAAGGGCAACCTGTTCTGCACCCCTTTCCGTACTGCTTGGAAATTTTATCATGCCCAAGGGGCTACTATTTCAATAAAAGAAAGGACCTCTATGGGTCAAGAAGCTTTAAAAACATCCTTATGCTCTTTCAGTCAATATTAATCCACAACAATGGTGGTTCTCTACCATTTCTTCCTGGTCCAACAAAGTTGAGAGATAGGATTCAGGCGCATGACAAGGAAGGCTCATTATGTTGGGTCCTAGGCTACAAGGTGGACAGGTCATTTGGAAAATACTTCCCTCATCCCTGGCATGTTATCTAATATGTCTCTCTGAATCGTGTCACCCCCTTAAGACTGAATGCCTTGAAAGAGATCAAAAATAAGCAGGCAGCAGGCAGTGTTCACACTGAGCATCTGTTTGGCCTGCCCAGTGTTGACTCATCAGCGAATCTGGATTAATCAGAAGACCTAGACCTACATTTATTTCCCAAGGGAAAACAACTGATTGGAGCCAAGTCCAGCTGCCTTTTGGGCTGCAGTCGATTATCCCATTGACGACCATCTCCATGCTTCCTCATTGCCAACTCCATGAGGTTCAGTTATTAAAAACTTGCCTTACCCTCTGTTGGACGTGGGTTTACCCTCGCTGAACTAGATGGCATGTGAGCATGTGCAGTCTGGGGCAGGAGGAAATGGGGGAGTGGGAAGAAGATACTTTGTAGGTTGGAAATGGAAAGCCTAGGAAATCTCAAGAGCATTGCCTTCAAAGATGCATGGCTTCTGGCTACACATTTTGCTGCTGACAAGGAGAGGAGACTGAGGGTTGAGAAAATGCTTTCTTAAGATGGAGAGATTCAAGCTAACTTACAGACTGATGGGCATGAATCAGTTAAAGAGGCAGTGATATAAGATCTTATTGCCAGGATTGTTTATGAAAAGTGAGGATTTCAAAGCACACTAACTCGAACAGCAAAAATAACCTTTCAACTTACCTTTCCCTGAGTAGTAGGACAAAGTAGTCCTGTGTCTTTGCTAGTGAATCTGCAATCGAACCCTTTCCTGTGGAGGATCAAGGCTGCCTCATCCGAATACCCATCGCCCACCTGCGAATGAACAGGCCACCAAGGCACCATAGAGATGTTAAAGCAAATAGTTACGGCATTTCACACACCACTGCCTTGAGGGCAGCATCCAAAAGCACATTTATTTAGCAACAAAGTCAGGCAAATTTGTTTCCCCTCAGGTCCATACTCACTGGGCCACCTTCTACACACCTCCCCTACATGCACTGAGCCACGTGAGACTATGTCCCAAGGTTACCTGTTAAGCAGCTTCATGCCTTGGTTTCCCCCAGAGTCCCTGAAGACTTAGATTTCCTTTTGGCCACATATTATGTACTGTTTTATCGAAGTTTCTTCCAATAAAGCATTTCATTTTTATTTTTTATTTTTTTAACATACACATAAATTAAATAAAGTATACCTGAATTTAAGTCCTCATCTGCTCACTGGATGATACACCATCTATCTTAAAACCGAAACATGCTTCTTCATTGAATACTAATTTGTGCTAATTGCATAAACATTCTTAATCTTTAATGTATTGGTTCATTATTTTTATACAAGAGACATTTAAATTAAATTAGTTATGCTTTTCACTTGCCAGGCCAGCTCATATTTATTAGCTTGATGTATCATTTAAATTCACATTACAGAAGCTATTGTTTATGGGCAGGCAAAAAGAAAAATACTAAACATAACAAGTCAGCTATGGGGAATCAGTATATATTTTCTTGGAATAAAATTTCTCACATCCATTTACATAACAATGTCAAGAATGGTGCAAGTCTTTGAATATTTTAAATTATAATTATCTTAATAAATTTTATGTTTCCTAAAGTGGGGAAGCCATTTATAAAAATAAGCAAAATGAATTAAAAATCCTTAGAAAAGTGAAGAATTGTATAGTTACACAATGTGTTGCTCAGTGCTGACACGGTGATATAAATGATTCCTTTCTCTATTCCCTGGCCACAGACATGAATATCCAATCTCTTGATCATCCTCACTAGGGGATAAGATTTTTTAATGTGCTTTAGAGACACCTTTCCTGAATAGCTGCCAGCAACTCCACCACTGATTTGATTTTAATATGCCTGGACAGTTTAAAGCTGTCCTCACCTCAGATTCTTGGCTGGAATAACCTATGTTATGATGTTTCACACTGGTATTTTGCAGTGGTACTGCTAAGATTTTGTTTGAAGGGAGAGACAAAAAGTCATTTAAGGAATTCACAGGACCCCATGATATGCACGGTAGGTTTAAAGCATCTGATAAAAATTTCAAATGAAATTTCTATAAATTTCACACCCCCCCTCCCATATAGTGCAAAAAAAAAATAGCACATAAGAACATCCTTCACTTACTATATACAAAACATCTCTGGAAGAACAACAAAGAGAATTCTATCATATGCCAATTGTGAAACCTCAGGATGGCCATTTATTCTTCCTAAGTTTCCTTGACTGTAAACTGGAGCTGATGCTTGTGTACTTCCTTCATGGAGTCACCTTGTGGATCGCCGTGTTGACAATACTACGTACGCTAGCCGCACACAGCCGTGTGGGGCAGAACGAGTTAGCCCAGGAGATGTAGACGTGAGTGGTTCGGAGCCTGGGCGAGGAGTCAGCTCAAGGGCTGGATCCCTGCTCTGCAACTTACCAGCTGAAGATTTTTATAGCAAGACCACATTTTCCTTTTCCATAAAATGGAGATGAAGTGAAATAACAACACAAGGACTTGGCACAGTGTCTGGCACATAGGAAGCCCTTAGCATGTTAGTTATTATTATCATTTCTATCAATGTAACCCGTCAAATAAATGTTGGTGATTATTTTTATAAGTTACAAGTTAATCAATGCTCTCATTTAACTTATTATTCATAAATATCTTTTATTGACGTTAAAACTTTGTAGCCAAAGAATCAGGAAACTCCCAAATTACATGTCTTCAGTTGTATGTCAAAATCATAATAAAGTCCCTAATCAGATTCACAGATTAGATGGTCTCTTAATTAGACTTTTTTGGAAGCATGTATCAGTATTAACCTAAAGCATTTAGCCATTTTAATTCATTGGACCATCCTTAAAAACCACTCGATAGCAGGCATTGTTAAAATTCTTGCAACATGTTTGCTCTTAGAATAATGAATTCATGAGGCTTTTAGCAACTGAAGAAGACAAAAAACTGGGAAGGAAAACACCTTTGGGATTCTACCTTTGGATTCTACAAGTGATTTAAACCAACAATACAAAAGTAGAGATAAAAAAAAGTCATAAAAAGTAACTTTTGCTGATAGAAAAAGTTATACTTTCTCTCAAAACTAAAACTATATCACTATTGTAAGGACTAAGTGAAATAGCAATCATCTTGTCCAAGTTTTGAAAAATCAAATATTCATGAAAGTATCAGTTTTCAAGCAAAAATACCTGAGGCAAAGCAGCAGTTTTTCAGTTTCGAAGTCTGTCTAGACATTTTATTTCCAAAAAAACTGTTTTTCAAAATAGAGAAACTGTGAATTTAGCTTGAATATGCAGGAAAACAGATACTTTCAAGCAGTCCCACTGTATGCTCCAGGAGAGCAAACAGCTTTTGGAATGTTTTTACATTCATTAATGCATTAGTAATATTTGGACCCCATAAAAAGGAGACGAGGGTGTGGGGAAGAAAATTTACAATTTTTGAAATTGTACCCAGCTCTATGTTAGGTAACTGTCTTTGTTAAACACACTAGAGCACATTTGAGGCCGGATCACCGAAGTAAGGCTGGGATGTTCAGAAGCTACAGGCAGGAAATCCACGGCAAAGCTTATTCCAGGAGGCAAAACCAGCACCCAGCTCGTAGACTAAGCTGGGCCTGTGAGGTTTTCCCAGCAACTCAGCAGAGTTTGGGGGAAGATGACTTGGTTTGCAGAATGAAGCCAGGAAGATAAAGCTGGATCAGGGAAAGGTTTGGTTGCACCATGAACCATTTATGTGACTCTGAGTAAATCACTTAATCTCTGTAAATTCTATGAAATAGGTTAGACTCATAAAGAGTCCCCTTTGAGGATCCAGGGCGAACCACAGTGATAATAACTGTAATTGCCAATACTTGCCAAGCACTTGCTGTGTGCCGGATCCGGAGCAGAATGCTTTTCACTTATTAACCCATTTTGTCTCACAACCACCTTTGAAATAGTTGAGTACACAAGTTTCTATTAACATATGTAAATGGGCAGGTAAGTCCCTATCACAAAGCATTCTCTCTTACACTCAAACAGCAATTATTACTAGGTACCCTGCATTTGCCCTTCATGATCTTTTCCCTCCAATGGTTGGTGTAGCCTTCTGTGGGTGGCCCGTTATTATTCAGTACACAAGAGAAAAATAGACAGTGCATTCCCCAACATTTTCAGCACTGTCCTTTCCTTCCTGTCCCCATGCAAGAGGCAGTACAGGGCTCTAAGGAAGGATCTGGAGTCAGCTGCACTTACACGAGAGGCCCCTGCTTAGGAGCTAAAAGCCTTGGGAAGTTACCCACCATCGCTAGGCCAGTGAGTTTCCTCTTCTGCAAGATGGAATAAAGACACAGTCTGCCTTCTTGGTGTTGTGACAGCTTTAAATAAGGCTCACATACAGCACTTGGCATGTCTGGCATATAGACAGTTTTTAGGTATATTGTTTTCAAAAAAATTGGAAGAATTATGAATAAAGTATATTCGGAATCTAAGTCAAAGTGAAGAAGACTTACTCTAGCAATAAACTGCAACCTTCTCCAATTTATAAAAATAGTGCCGCTGTTTTTACTTCATTATTAGTAACAATCACACTGCTCATGACTGAACTATCATAGTTGAGAACCTTTACTAGTCACGCACATGTAGGGTTTACACGTCCCCCAAAATAAGACCTACCCATAAAATAAGCCCTAGCAGGATTTCTAAGCATTTGCGCATTATAAGCCCTACCCCGAAAATAAGACAGTGATGGGCGTGGCTACGCAGCGCATCTGCACAACCCATGCATTTTGTCTCGAAGCGGTAAAGAAGACAAGCAGCCCTTCTCCTCTGCCCCATGAGAGCTCTATTGCTCGACATGAGAGAGTGGGGCCAATGGTTCTAAAGGAAATAGAGTCGCAAGAAATTCAGGCTGGAATTCAGGGTTTGGAGATTTATGATGATGTTCCAGAAGAGGACGACTTAACTATATTTGAATAAATGTAGATTGTTGTATTGTACTTAAAAAAAAAATAACACATCACCTGAAAATAAGCCCGAGGGTGTCTTCTTGAGGAAAACTAAATATAAGACCCTGTCTTATTTTCAGGGAAACACGGTACTACACGTCAGACACTGTTCTAAGTACTTCACAAACATTGTCTCCAATCCTCAGAACATCCTTTAAGGTAGTTACTATCATCATCTCCAGGCTACTAATGAGGAAATTAGGACTCCAAAGTCTGGGCTTTTACCAGCTTCCTTCTCCTGCCTTTGTCTAGCTATGAATCGGTGCTCATAGATACCTAGTCAGGAGAGAAATGATAAGGATTATTTTTGGTGTAACATAACAAAATGCTGTAAACTAAAGGAGATAACCCTCCCTGCTTTAAAGCTTGGAAAATGAGTATTTGGCTGATAGTTCCAGCAGAGCTAAAACCACAACTTATCAAAAAATATATCAGTTCGGAAAGCAAGGTTTGGAAATTTTAATTTCTATCCATCTGCCACCTACCCACCCATCCATTTGTCCCGTTTCAAACAGAATTTAAAGCCACTCTGAAAATTACACATGCACATGACAATCTCTTCTAAGGAAAGGAATAAGTAAATATTCCTCTACTGAAGTGGATGAGAACTTAAGATGTGAGAATTATGGTATTCCTTTCACATAACTAAAGAAACTTGATTTGGTCATTGATAACATAAGGGTCACAAATCAGTAAACTTTTGGAACTGCAGTAAATATCATAGGTGCACCTACCCACTGTTAGAGGGGTATAGAGGGAATAGAGGGGCTGTAACTTTGACCAGAGTCTGTGTGTGACCCCACCCTCCTCACGGTAT